ATTCTTTAAAAATGAGCACAACCTCTCATGTAAAGAATATTTTTATCATATAATTAAAATCAGCGTGCTAATCCTTACTCAGTAATAATCCTGGATTATCAAGTAACTGTGTCCTGATGCTCCATTTAGGAGCATTGAATGGATCAAACCCTCTTTAATATAAAATAACAGCATTGCATTAAGTAAACAACACTAGACATCAACTTACGAATTAGTTTCATTGTCAGTGACTGTTAATTCAGTTAGTAGAGGCCAAACAGCACAAAGATGAATCTCCCTTGGAGAGAGAGAGAGGGGGAGAGATGTAGAGAAGGATATCAATTATTAATATTTACTGTATAGGATCAGAACTTGCTCCTACTGGCAGACTAAGGAAACAATCACTCCCATCACCAGACGCTGGAATTAATAATTAAATTAATTAATGATTATAATCAATGAGGTACTAACAGAGTGGACCCACTGGCCAATCCTCCACATTCCAATGTCTTAGACAATATGTTAGTCTAGCAGCAATATTAATATCAGGAGGATTAACATTCACACCATTCTATTAATAAAACCATTACATATTCTACATATTCATTGTAAATTACAAATAATAGTTAATAGAAGGGAGATAGAAATGTACCAGTTTTGATCGGAATAAGTTCAGTAGTCCTGAGAGGTGACTAAAGTGAGGTGGAATATGTCTCAAATGTATCATTTCAAAACACGTACGGAGACCACACCCCTCACACTGTCCGCTAAACATGTGACGCCAATTCTTCTGTATCTGAATGAATATAGGCAATGTACTGAAGGAAGGAATAGAGGACAAGAGAATGAGAAGAGAAGAGACAAGTATTGAAGAGAAGAGATCAAATGGAGAGAAATTAAAATTAAAATTATAAGATTAATTATTATAACAGACCATCCAGTGTTAGCTACAGCCAGAGATATTGAACTGAGTAATAGTTTGGACTGAGCTTCACTTGATATTGCATGACTCTTCTCATCAGGAGATATCAATATAAACTGATCAACACCATACCTAATGATTGATTGTATTTTGAATAATAATTATGAACTACATGCAAATATTGTACAATATAGGCCAGGGTTTCCCACAAAGCATGCTAAGTGAGCTAAACAGCATGAGCTTCATGAGCTGACATATACTGTATAGC